AGCTGAGCAGCCTCTGTGTCCCTGCAACTCAGTTCCATCTATTCCAATAGAAATAATCATATTTACTGTATTGTGTTATTGTGAGAGTGAAAGGAAATCGTGCAGATAATATGCTTAGCGTGGTGCCTGGCACGTCAAAGGCATTAGCCGTTACTACCACTGTTACTATTTCTGCTGCTGTTATTTGGAGAAAATGGGAAGGAGAACTGAGTAGTGACTGTACCTTTGTTCAGACCTCCCCTCACACCGTAAGAAGGTGCTCATGACATTTCTTTCTTTGTCAGTGGGTAAGAAATAATACAGTTCAGTGGTGTCCTCCCAACATTCCAGAAGGATATCTAGCAAAGTGGAGGGAGAATGCTAAATACAGTTCTACAAAGACACAAAGACCAACAGTTCTGGAGAAATCCAGATATTGTTAGAAACAATATGTTAAAGTGTTTTATTATTTAGTTACATCTCGCCTGAGCATGAAAAGGGTATTAACATACTGTCAGCTTACTGGGACATAACCCAAAATAACTAACATTTTTTTATATATTGCTAATTATTTTTCTGAAGCTGGCTCAGGCTGGTAAGAGAGAGATTTCAAGGCTTTCACCAGATTATTTACTTAAAGGAGTTAAGCATGCCATTATCCGTTCCCATGGAAACACAGTAAGTAATACAGGAGGCAGAGGAGGAGGTCACTTTGACCATAATTAATATAAAGAATAATGGCTTTTGTGGAATCTAGTTACAGATACAATGAGATGCTGTAATACCTTTAGACCTTTTCTTCAGCAGTGCAATTTAATCTCTGGATCAATTTTCATACAGTACTGTCACTTCCGTCATTTTACTAATCTAGTGCTAATTTTTGAAATGTAACTGCATCTTGTTAAGTAAGACACTTTCAGTGTTGTTATTTCATTTTTGATACGATCAGAAAATGCCAGTATCCAGGATTTTTCTAAAGTGCTGAGCAAGTTAAATGGCTGACTGCACTGGCCTGATTCTTCTTGCGTATGGTACAGCTCCTAGCCATTGTTTCCCAATACATTGTTGATTGATGAATTCATTAATGATAATCCAGATTCAGCAGTGCCTTGAAAAATCACCAGAAGAAGATTTAATTTTATGTTCAGTACAGTTTCCATTTAAGGTGTCTTATTGTATAATGTTTTCAGTTGAAAAATTCATAATCCACGTGGGGTGTCTTTTAGTTACGTATCCCATTTATTGAAACACAGTGCACTCCTTGGGAATTCTGACCCAAAGATGCACATTGAATTTATTTTTTTCATCTTTATGTTTATTTGGGTAGTAGATCTGTTGCGTAGTGTCTAAGGCAGAAATTTTATTGAGCAAGCTTGATGGCAATAAAAGAGTTGATCTTTCAAGTTGCTGAACTGTTAATATACTGAGCAATTATATTAAGTCAGAAATTAGTAGGACTTTTGTTTTTCTTAGCATCTCGGTCCAAGAAATGTAGCCTCTCCAGGAAGCCTCGTCAGCAGACTAAAGTCAGAGATGCAGCCAACAGGTGGCCTGAAGTTAACTGGAGTCAATATACAATTTCTCACCCTTTAGAAGATAACCACTTTGCTGCCACAGGAGTAGCCAAAAATTTTGTGTAAATATTAAGCTTGAAATCATTTAATCAAGAATGTAAATCAGTTATATGCTCCAATTATAAAAACATTGATGAGATTAGCTATGGTATTGATTTTGGGGGGATGGTGGGGAGGATTATAGTTGTTATGACTTTATAAAATGTGTTTATTTATAATGATATCACATTTTTATTCCAGGAATGCAACAGCATTGTATCCTGCTTGGCAGGCATAGTGGTCACTTGGCTTTGCCATGAATAAGAACTCTCAGCAGTATCATTTCATAGGCTTATAAGAGAGCCCCTAAAATAATGGATTTCCTATATGTATTTACGTTTGGATAATTTATTTAAATAATGTTGCTGGCACATGCTTTATAGCCACTTGCATTTTGCTACACAGAATTCAGCATATCTTGCAGACTATGCAATTCATTTGGAAAATGTAATTTCCATCCCTGCATACTAATCGATTTCTTCACAAACACCTGCTATCAGTTATGATAATAAAAATGCCACTCTGAATTGAAAAAGGGCCAAATAGAGCTTCCTAAGGAAATGACTTAAGTGTCTTTGAATGCTACTAAATGCAGTAATGTGCTTGTGTAGTGCCAACACTTTTTCCATCATTTGCATTTTCTGTGATTCCGCCCTATTACAACATCCCTCTGTCAGATGATGCCTCATAACTGTTTCCATATGGACTGGTAAACTGACTTGTCAGTTCCTGGGATCTCAGAGTATAGACAAGATTTGAAGTTGAGTTGCACTAGTTCATGCTCCTGGGTATACCCTGGGTCATTTCTGATTTTATGAGTAAGTCCCTGAAAACTGTAAAATTGGCTGCTCCTTGGTTTTGCACACACATATACACCAAATAAAATTCCCTCTATTCATTCTCCTCAGCCTCTATTTTCATTCCACGCACCATTGCCAAACTAATCTTCCTAAATCACCAATGTCATCATATCCTTCCACAACCCCAGGCACCTTCAGTGGTTCTCAATCGACTGCCCCATTGAGCCTAACCTTCCCATTCTCTCTCATCTCCTGATGTGACTTACCTTTCTCTCACTACTTCCAGGAAGACACTTACCTTTTTGATCAAGCATCTTTATCTTTTTTTTCAGAGAGGTTTTTGCTATAGGGCATGTGTGCTCACCAGAAAGAGAGAGACAGAGAGACAGAAAGCAAGAAACCACCCCTCACGGGGGATGGCCATGGCACAATCCCTTCTCTCCATTCTCCTCTGGGGATCTTGGGCACGCACACACGCACACACATGCCCCCATGAGTTTAAGCCACTTGGTCTGGGACTCAAACTGTGGTCGACTACATGGGAGTCCAGCAACATAGCTATTACGCCAACTGCTGGTCCCAATCAAGCATCTTTTTCTTTCTGCCCCAAATATCCTATCTCAGTTCTCAGCTCTAGACTTTCTTACTTCTGACTGAGATAGCCTTCTGATTCTTGAGATTTTCCTCTCCCTCTTTGATTCTTCTAGTCTGTATTTTTATTTCTCTTCTCTGAACTCTTACAGAATATATTCCTTTGTCATGTGACTTGATTCTAAGTCACCCATTTATTTGTTCATCCAACCTACATTTATTGAGTAACTACTATATGCCAAGCATCAAACTGTTCTTTCTTCCTTTGGATGCATGAGTTTCCTTTTAAATGTGTCAGACTCTATTACATTTTAAGTTCCTTGAGAGAAGAGATCTGTTTGGTCTCCACTTTTGTGATCCAGAATACCAATATATACCTGGGCACAGATGAGTATGCAGTGGATGCTTGTTAACTAATTGATCCCTAGCCATTTGAGTCAGGAAGTTTTTGGTTAATTGCATGTCACGTTCTCTTTGGCATTGCAGTGTGTATTATACATAGATCACTATTTTCTCAAATGGGATACCATAAAACACTAGCTATAAGAAAATGATTAACATCATTTGATATTTGATATCTGAGGAGAGAATTCATTGAGATCTAAGAACACCTCAGGAAAGCCTTGTCATCAGTTTGCTATACTGTGCAGGTAGAAGGTTCAGGAGGCTGACCTCACATGGACCTCTGAATCGGGCATTTGGAGGTCAGAGCATGGGAAGGAACCTGTATTGAGAGCCTGGTATGCAATAGGCCTCCCATCACACCCTTACCTATTGGGAAAATGTTGTGGTAATATATTTCTCATTTTTTTTTTCACTTTTCTCCTCCTCTTGTGAGGGGGGAAGAATATTTGAGACATCACTGGAATAGTGGAGGGAGAGGGTGTAGGACTGGTTTAGGGCAGTCTGGTAAAAACAAAACATACAACTGACTGATACACAGTGCTCGAGAGTAAAAATTCTGGTGGCTTGCATTTGAAAATCATTTCTACTGTGCTGTGGGACTGAACAAGTTGTCTAACTTCTCTGTGCCTCATTTTTCTCATCTGTAAAGGTAGGGATACGAACAGCACCTGCCTCAAGGCATAATGAGGTAATTAAATGAGTTCATAGGAAGCCCTAGGTCCAGTAGCTTGTGAGTATTTAGCAGGTGGCTGTTAATGTTATTACTGTTTTTGGAGTGACCACTAAGAATACAATATAAACTAGGAAAAGGGATGCCCCACCCTTAATCTCTGTTTTGTACCATCCATTCTCTTTTATTTGGTCTCAACTGCCTCTCAAGCTTCTGTGAGATGTGTAAAACCCTGAGTGAACTGTCTTGGTTAAGATGGTGATGTGAATGAAGTCTCAATCTACACACAGAGAATTTTAGGTTTCAGGGAGGAGTATTAGAGTAACTACTCAGCCTTGTAGGCGAAAAGAGTTTTAATCTATTGGTGAAACAGATGGAGCTAGGTTACCATTCTGATAGGAGTTAGAGAAAACAATTTGTGCAATTTGTCCCAGCAGTAGAGCAGGAAGGAATGGTATGCATACAAATTCCTCTGTCCCCTGGGATGCTGCTGCATGTCTCAACCTGTGGACCTGCTGATTATTTGAAATGAAGAGGCAGTCCACAGAGCTTTGCAGAAAGGGAGGGGACAATGATGGGGTAAATACAAATGTTGACTGGAATTCCGAATGTCATCATCACCTGGCAAAAACATTTCTGATTTTTGTAAGGGTATCCAGGGCTCGGGGAGTCAAGAGATAAGAATTTGGAAGGAGTTAATGCTGTGCACACAAGAAACATTCATACATAAAACAGAGCAAATAGAATAGATACCTTTTCTGAAAGAATGACACATCCTAGTTGCAAAATAAAGAGACCAGTTTAGGGTAAGGCATCTGGGTTTTATTTCTGAACTGGTACAAACAGTAAGAATTTAGGTGAATGACTCGCTTTCCCACCCAAGGACTCCTCCATCTAAGCAAGAAGGTAACTCCCTTGAATTCTTTCTGGTTTTCCCTCCAGCCCTGGCTGCTCAGGCCTATGCTCTTAAAGAGGAGAATGACAGTCTCCGCTGGCAGCTGGATGCCTACAGGAACGAGGTGGAGCTACTAAAACAAGAGAAAGAACAGCTCTTTCGAACAGAAGAAAACCTCACCAAAGACCAGCAGCTACAGTTCCTTCAGCAAACCATGCAAGGCATGCAGCAGGTACTTGGGCACAGATTTTTTTTGTTTTGTTTTGTTTTTAAGAAAAAGGATATGTGTATTAAATGCAAATGAAGTAGCAGACATTTGCCAGAAAAGCATAAAGAAGAAGAAATGACAACCAAAGAGCTAAGTTTGAGAGAAAGAAAAGTGCTAATGACTGTTTGTGGAAGGGTAGAACTGGAAAACAGCCAAGCTGAAGAAGTACACCCTGGAGGTAGGAAATCAAAAAGAGCATTTAAGAGATTGAAAGGTTGTATATGACATACAGCTTCATGGCAAAGGATTAACAAATCCTTGCCAATCATGACACAGGTGGTTTTTTTTAGTCTTAGAAATTTAAGCTCGTGTGCTTTGTTTTGTTTGTTTTCAAGGTCAGTGTAAAAAACTGTATTGTTTCCACTTCTTCTGTATTATACTTAGGATCTAATCAGGTTCCATGAACACACCATATATTTAAGAAATGTGTGTTTATGCAATGGATGAAGTACCGGAGTTTGGGGGTTTGGGGGGGATAGGTAGCTTTAAAAGCAGGGCAATGGTTGTGCTTTTGTTGAAGAGTGCTAGACTTTCGGTGTGCTGATTTAAAAATGTATGTTTCTGACAATTATTAAGAATGAAACAGAAGCTGTCATCTTTGGGGTTAAGGGAAAGAAGCATGGATCATGAGACATAAGAGGCTGAAGGGGGAAAGTCATGGTTGTTGACAAGAGAGGAATAGAATCAAAGATTCAAGCTGGATGAGTATCTGAACACTTTAATGGATACATGGTATTGTTATGGTATTTGGGCCTTTGAGTTATCTTAGACTAATAGGGCATAAATTATCATCAATACACATCAGTACTTTTTTTTTTTTAAACTGGCCAGAGAGCATGCACATTCACCAGAGAGAGACAGAGAAACAGACAGATGGAAAGGGAGAAAGCACCCCCCCCAGTGGGAATACAGTCATACCACAATTCCTTCTCTTCCATTTCTCCATTCTGCCAGGATTTAGGGCAGGCGTGTATCCAGTGGTTGATCGGCAGTCAAACTGTGCAGTTGACCATGTGGGATCTGGCTCCAATTACCTCTTTGAATATACAAATAAAACCAATATTTTCTTTTAAAAAATATTGGTTTTTTAATTTGTAAAAATAGTGTGTTTTTAAGATAAAGAGCAAGGCAATGTGTCTACTGGCCAGAAGGCCAAAGGCTACCTGCAACCACCAGAAGCTGGGGAAGAGTCCTCCTCATAGCCCTGTGAAGGGAAAAGTCCTGCTCTTCAGCCTACATGGACTTACAGCCTTCTGAACTGTGAGACTTCCTCTGTTTTTTAAATCGATAAACACCAACAAATCAATAACAGATAGCTATATTAAAATGCATTTTCTACTGGCAAGGATATTGTGCAAATGTATGAGAAGTTCCAACAACTGAAGCCCTCAATCAGGAGGGCTGGATCTCAGATGGTGATTTGAATGACAATATTTAAAAAATATTGTTTATAATTTTTGTTTAAATAAAGGAAATACAAATAGGATAATGGGAAGTTAAAATATATTAATGATAGGATTTTTTAAGTCACATACATCCATATAGATTGCTCTCTAATACCAGCAATCATAAATTGCCTATGAAAGTGTCTTAGAGATTAGAGGTACTTCTACAGAACCATGAGCCAAACAGGGAAAAAATAATTGAAAGGGAGGACTACAAAACAGAGACATGGATTGGGACGTAAGCAAGTTAATGACTGAGTCAAGAGAAATTATGTTTTAAACATCTCCTGCTATTTTAAAGCAATTTTGGGGGTCTTGGCTTTCAGTCCTAATGGGTTGATGTTCACAGTGTGTGTTAGACTAATCAGTGAGATTCAGAGGTCAGAGCCAGCCAGGAAAATGTCATTATAGTCATTGCTCAGGTCCCCGTACTTGGAAATCGATGTAACAGCTGCTGTGTGAGGCTCCTGGGGTTGTCCATATGCCCCAACATTGAATGTGCATTGGTGCCTTTGCCAGGATCAAAGTCTGTCATTTTCTCCAAAGACCATGACACCAGACCTAGCCTGCAAGCTACAACATCTCACTTCAAGCAATGAGCCCTCTTTTCTTCCAGAAATGATCACCCAGTTGCTTTAAAAGTAGATGAAACCTGTAAGGCTGTTGAAGATTCAAATCTAGAAATCAGGGGATGAGAGGTTGAGCTGCTCAGTGGGCAGGTTGGTTGCTAAGGTTTCAGCACAGGAGCACCACAGACCCATGTGTCTGGTCACAGAGGAGCAGTAATCCAAGTCACCACCTGAGCCCCAGCCCTTCTGATGAAGAGCTTTGGTTATTGGAACTTCTCATACATTGGCACAATATCATTGTCAGTAGGAAATGCATTTTAATATAGCTATCTATTATTGATTTGTTTTATTTTTTTTTTGTTTTGTTTTGAGAAGTTTTTGCTATAGGATGCATGCACTTGCCAGAAAAACAGAGAGAGACAGAGAGACAGAAAGCAAGAAATCACTCCCCAGGGGGCATGGCCACACTGCAATCCCTTCTCCATTCTCCTCTCAGGATCTTGGGCACACATGCACATGCACCCAGCGTGAGTTTAAGCCACCAGGTCTGGGACTCAAACCATGGTCGACTACATGGGAGTCCAGCATCATAGCCATTACATCAACTGCTAGTCCCTCTGTTATTGATTTGTTATTGTTAGTTGGTTTAAACAACAGAGGAAGTTTCACAGTTCAGAAGACTATAAGTCCAAGATGTAGGCTGACGAGCAAGACTGGTTTCTTCAGAGGGCTGTGAGGAGGACTCTTCCTCTGGTGGTTGCTGGCAGCCTTTGGCCTTCCTGACTGGCAGACACCTTATGCTTAACCTTAATTTTCACCTCGTGTTCTCCCTGTGTGTGTACAGATTTCAGCTTTATATAAGAAAACAGTTCATAAGGGACTGGGAGCTCACCCTATCCCAGTGTCAGCTCAACTTACTTAATCATATCTGCAAATAATTCTATTTTCAAATAAAGTCACATTCTGTATTACTACAGGCTATGAATTTAATGCATGAATTTTATTGGGGGGGAGAGGGGAATTCAATCCATAACAAATACATATATATGTTAAGTGGAGAAATGAATGGACAAAGGTCCAGAAATAGCAACTAGCATGGTGTCTATAGGGAGCTCCGTGATCCTAGGCCCATAAAAAGCTGACACATGAGAGGTATGTATGGAATCTCCAGAGTAAGGGGAACACTCAATCCATGGCAGCTGCAATGATTTTAAGTTTCCCTGATTGTTAAATGGATGCATGGCTATCTCTGTGGCAACCCATCTTTAATACAGTTTTAAAATATAGGTGCTTTTTTAAGAGTCACATTTCCACCATATCCTACCATGTGTGAATAAATTACCACAGCTTGCTAATTTGAATTCCACTGCAAAGAATCCTCCCGATGTTAAAACCTACTCTCAATCTGTCCACCAACCACTGTATAAATTAGAAAATTACAGTCTCACAAGAAAGTCAACAGAGAGAGGAGGAGTGAGCCTCCCATATGTCATTGTTGCCACAGTCTATCTATTTTTAGGAAATTATTTTTTGCAACAAACAAAATAAAGAGCTTTAATAATCTGAGAATAAGTTGAGCCAAAAAGTTTCTAATCTTTTCACTTTGAATCTCTTAAGGATATGTTCACTGACATCATATAGTTTTTCATGTGTTCATAAAAAAATATGATAGGCAGCTTCCTAAAAATGAGAGACCCTGAACTGACTCTGTTTGGATGTTTCTGAGTTTACCCCTACACTGCATGTGAGTCACAATCTAATAATATTAGAGGTTTTATACAGAAGGAAATAGTAGTTTGTATCCATGGAAACATGTTAGTTAGCCTTTACCTGATCATAAGCTAGCAGTGATGTTAACCCATCTTTTCTACAGGGATAGTGCAGTTTTTGACTTTCATTCGTATCTGTTGGTACACAAGCAAAGAATTTATGTACTTCAGGCTGGCCCCATAGCACAGTGTGTTGGGAGACAGATCCCACATGGCCCACCACAATTGGAATCCTGGCCCCTGTGGCTTGAAAAGCACATCGGAGGCATGGGTGTGCATGTCCACAATTCTGATGGGATAGAGAGATGAGGAAAAGGTGTGTAGCATGACCATACTATACTCCACTGGGGGATGTTTTTCTTTCTCTAGTGAGTGTATGTGCCCTCTGACAATATTTTTTTTTAAAGAAAGAAAGAATATACATACAAACTCTTTTATTTTGGGATTACCATATTGACTTGTTCTGTTAGATTTTTATTGAGGTAAAAATACTCTTTTTAGGCATACAGTTCTATGAATTTTGATGAATGCATATAATCGGGGAGCCACCACTTTCACAGTAAATCACTTCCATCATCATTCCCTGATGCCTCTTTTACTCGGCCCCTCTCTCAGAAACCACGGATCTGTTTCCTACCCAGATGATTCTGCCTTTTCCGGAATGTCACAGAAGTGGAACTGTGCATTGTACAGCCTGTTGAGTCTGTCTTCATCCATTTAGCATAATGAATCTGAGCTTCAACCATCTGGTTTAGTCCTTATGCTGAGTAGCGTCCATTGTAAGGAAGACTATAGTTTGTTGATCTAGTCACCGATTCATGGATATTTTGGGTAGTTCCTAATTAGGGGCAAATATGAACAAATCTAGTTTTTGTTTTGTCCTTTTTTATTTCACTTGAGTAAATATCTCTATTCACTTGAGTATAACTGCTGGGTCATATTGGAAGTGTGTTAAATTCTTTTTAAGAAACTGCCAGTTTTGCAGCGTATCTGCACCATTGCACATTCCCACGAGCCCGTATGAGAGTCCCAGTTCTGGGTGTTCATCAGTCAGGACTTGGCATGATCAGTCTATGCTTGTCTTCTTTAGCCACTATAGTGAGTGTACAGTGGTGGCTCATTATATAGTTATATCCATACCTGAAATTAAACAGTAGTTTTATTTTCACTTGTTGTGGATA